CCCCCCCCCCCCCCCCCCCCCCCCCCCCATCGACACACACACAGAATTGTCAAATTGTTTTTAATACCTTTTGAAGCAGGGGTAGCAGGGGAAACACAGCACAAACTATTATCTTTACTCAGTAAGTGTGACGTGTTCGAGGAACTACTAGAGGTATATTGGGGGAGCGGTCTTCACACTTGTGGTGATTGCACATGTGCCTTAAATAATATTTTATCAAAAGCTCCTAACCTTCAAACACTTATATTAGATATAAATTGTGGAGCTCTCTTTTCAATACCTAACCCTGGGAAAACTGCTAAATCTGGATGTTCATGACATAGATAGTCAAGACATCCCCGTGATCAAACAGATGCGGCACTTGAAGTACATTCGTGTTATGGGGAGATCAGTTCCTCCACTAGGGACACTACCTAATACCAGTCATGATTTGACTCATATAGATATTAATGGTCGACTTCAGCCCTTGTGTGTACAACTTCTTGGGAGGAACCTTCACCATGTGAGAGGGCTGAAATACCTGACACTGATGCGTGTGTTCAATTATAAAACCTTTTGTGGGTCTAACTGGTGTCTGTGTCTTTGGGGGGAAGATACCAGTACAAAACAATTCCAAACATGTCAGGATGTCTGTAAAGCCGTGCGTGAACTGAGTCAAGGTGTGATACACACCACTAAGCTAACACACTTTTTATTCTGGGGCAATAACTTGGGTACGTACCACGGTATCACCAGTCCACTGATAGCATTGATACAATCTCTCAGTACAGTGTCAGAGCATACTGGAATGTGGATTGACATGGGCAATAATATCCTGGGCAGAGTTGATCGCCTCAGTGAGCTGATAGAAGCCATTGTCCGCTCTTACCAGTATGTATCATATTGGGATCTTAGGAGTAATTTCCTTGAGGAGAGTCTCCCGCAGCCAGATGGCAGCCTTAAATGCGAAGTGTGCCTAGATGCGTGAAAGTTAGGAGGAGAAGCACTACTTACTTGCTATCAAAACACAAAAATCTGAAATCTAAACCTATAAAAATGAGAGTGAAATTTCACACATATACTGGTACAAGCCAAAAGCGATGTTTATTCATTGATTTTATTACTGTACTGTATTGATATTGTAATCACCATGTAATGCTAAAGCATGTCTTGATCTACCAGTAATCATAACTTCATATCTACGAAATGTTGACCTGAATGGTGTGGAAATATGAAGAGGAATCGGTTGGAATGTTACATTGTATCTTATTGTCATCCTTCCGCAGTTGCTGGTATATTTGATACAATTGTCAATAATTGATACATTTTTTTTCAATAACCAACTATACAGATATAATAGGTCCATATCATGTCTAGACACACAGGTTGGTTATGACATTTTATTTTGACTCAATTATATAAACATAGCTTTTTTTGTATATTTGTATATGAAATGATGTGCTGATTTTAGTACTTTATTTCATCTAGTAATTTGTTTTCCTTTTCCATTAACCATGTATATACATTATTTACACGCGCGTGTCTTGGTGTGTAAATACCATGTACTAGAAAATGTGTATGCATATCGATGAAAAAGGACATTTTTATTAAGAAATTAGATCGCTTATTTGGTGACTTGGCATAAAGCTGTTCTTGAAATTTTAGTGTCTGTGAAAAAATATGGTGTCAATGTGTATATCATGATGTGTGTCCAAGTTGGATAGGTGCAATATATGGTTGTTAAAATACTTGCTTTTTGCATTTTTAAAATACGTCATTATTATTATTATTATTATTATTGA